TCAGTTCCTAAGACCATCGGAAATATGTGTTTTCTGATGGTCTTAGGCGACCCCTGTGAAAGGGTCGTTCAACCCCCAAAGGGGTCACGACCCACAGGTTGAGAACTGCTAGACTCCAGAGCTTTGAGTTTCGCCATGGAGCTTTTGGTTAATATTAAATAGGTCGACCAATTGTGTTCAGCTCTCTGCGATTGAGTTTCCTCTTCTGTAAAATCGGGTGGTATAGTATTACTGCTAGGGCCGCTAAACACAAGGTCAGCAGTTTGAAAACCACCAGCCACTCTGTAGGACAAAGATGAAGCTTTCTCCTCCCATGCAGAGCTACAGTCTCTGAACCCCACAGGCGACATTTCTACCCTCTTCTAATCCTATAAGTAGGATTAGAAGCAATGGCAGAGCTTTGAGGATTATGCAAAGCATTCAGCACAATGCCTGGCCTATAATAATATCTCTTATGATAAATATTACATATTTGTTGTAAAAGACAAGGCCAAGGCAGCGCTGGGAAGTCAGTAGCTACCAGGGGGACAAAATTGGAGCTTATACTGTCAAAACGAATTACGTCTGTATAGTCTTCTTAATGTAGTTCCCGATTGAGACACAGATGCATCTTGTGGGGAAGCCCTAAAGGGAGTTCGAGATATCCCTTGCCTGGCCCTGATAGTCTCACCCCGCACCCAGTTAACTGCTTAAAATGCTAGACACGCAGATTCTTTTCAGGGAATGCTGACAGTGATAGGATCTCAAATATTTCATGCACTTCTTAAACATGACTACTTTCAAGCTTCAATGTGACAAGATCACTTTTAGTTTTCTTTGGTGTCTTTTAAATCCTAGAAGGACACTACTAATTTATTTCCTTTAAAGACTGTTTGGACTATTGAGCTAAAAATGCTGCAGAATCTAAGTTCACCTCTTTCTATAGTTATATGGGAGTGGGGCATATTACCATGAAATCAGGAGCAAATAACTGAATTGGTTAGATAAAAGTTCGGACCCTTCCCTCCCCAAAGTTGTTCATAGATGTTACCTATCACGCTGTGTTATCTGCTAAAAATTATGAATTCGACATGGGCAATTGACAGGATAAATTATACCACCACACTTCTGGATTTGATTTTCTTTTCCCAGAACTGGCTCAGTGCATTAGCGACTTGCTCTGCCAAGAACAAAATAAATATAGTTGACTTTAGGATAGCTGAATATTTTTCATCTTGACATGTCTTAGGCATTTTCTTTACTAGAAAGTTAGTCAGTATTCTATTGAACTGTGCAATGATACTGATGATTTTTACAGATTGAATATCCTTTATATCAGGAAATTGACCTTTCTGAAATGAACCCCTACAAAGAAAAAGGAGACGGAGGGAAGTAAATCAAAATATTACCTTTGAAATTTGTTGCTGGCCTTCTTTTGGAACGCTTTTAAAACTCCACCAATCTTTTTTGTCTAATTCTATTTGTAAATGGGCTAGCTCTCAAGCCTTTGTTTTGAGTAGGATCCATTGGCTAATTCTTCTGAGGCAATAAGTAGTATGATCAGTGATAAAGCTACATATAGCACATAAGATTTAGATTCATAAAGGATAATTTTTGTTATTCAGAGAACTGTGAAAGTAACCTTCATAAAGGACAGATAACAGCTTATTTGTAAACATACCTAAGTAACATTGAATGGATTGTATGACCTTATAAATTCTCTGATTGAGAGAAAAAAGTTCCCAGCTATCAAAAAGAATAGCACCTGGGGTCTTAAAGACTTGTCTTTAAACAAGCAACCATCTAAGTGAGCTGTCAGCTAAAAGTCTACACAGAAGAAGCACACCAGCCGGTGTGATCCAGTGATTGTAAACCATAAAATTCAAGACCAGAGGAGGGAATGGTATTAGAACTTGAATGATGAGTACCCGGTTTTCAGAAGGCTACGGATTGAAAGCCTCAGATTCATTTGCTGGATCCCTGTGTGGATTAAGCCTTTGGTGAGTATCCTCTGACCATTGGCCAGGGAGGTGAATAGTCTTGCTCTCAGACAGGGTGCATTGGGAAGTAGAATAATGCAGATGTAATTAGGTTAACATTCAACATGTTAAATTTGTTCTCCCTTTTGACCCATTTTAAATTTGTTCTAGAGTTTATTCTGCTCTCTTTTCAATTGAGGTTTTTCTCTGTATTATTTACTTATTGTTTTTTGGGGTGTGGGGGTGGAGTGGGGAGTATGTTTTTCTGTATATGAAATCCAGGATACGTAAATCTATAGAGACAGTAACTGGAGTGATATTTTCTTAGGATCATGGCAGGAACAGTTCTGAGGAAAGGGGGAGCTGATCACAATGAGACAAGAAAGAAGACGGCGTTCTGAAATTGTGGTGGTGGCACAGCTCGCTTTAATATGTCTGAACCACTGAATTGCGTGATACGTGAATCATAGGTCAGTAACACTTAATTTAAAAGCACGATAAAGCTCCATCTCCTGTTTTCTTGATGTCTGTCTATTTTAGATTGTCAAAAGAGTGGGGACTAGTGACGAAAAACCAATGATCGGAGACAAAGTTTCTGTCCATTACAAAGGGAAATTGTCAAATGGAAAGAAGTTTGATTCCAGTCATGACAGAAACGAACCATTTATCTTCAGTCTTGGCAAAGGTAAGAGGGTGCTTTTAGACAGGAGGAGCATTAACTCCCCTCTGTGATGGCCACAGAGATCCTTTTAGGGCATTCTGAGAACTGTGAAAGAAGCTTTCACAAAGGACAGATAGCAGTTTATTTGTTCATTTCCCTGCAGGATGTTCAAAGGACGATGTGACCTAGGATGTCAAGATTGTTTTTATAATACTACTGAGATATGACGTGCCTTGTTACTGTGTTGAAGTTGGCACGATGATTTCAGAAAAAGAGTTAAAATTGTTATAACGGCCGGTGCCTTGGCATAAATCAAGGCAGTGGCACAAACCACACCATCATTATGGCCTTTTTACTGCCAGAAAGATGAAGATTTTTACTCCTGTAAAGAGTTAGTCTCGGAAACCCACAGGGGCAAGTCTCCGCTGTCCTGTAATGCCCCCTTGAGTCGGAGTTTGGTTTTTATTGTTCACCGTACCCTTTTCACGTACTCATGTGCTTGTGACAAAGCAATGTCAATAATGAAAAGTTTTAACATCCCAGCTCTTCACTCATCATTTCGATACCCGCTGATGGAATGGGATATCGAACGGAATTCACTGGCTGCCTCAAGGAAAAACACTTGCACAATTTACTTCAATTGTATGCTGAACTAGCCGTGTGGTTTTTTGTTTTTAAGAAACACACACACACACACACACACACACATTTTTTTTTACTTGAAAGAAGAACTGATAGGCAAGCTACGATTATACAGACTTTGGCATTTTGGCAGATATTTCTTGAAAGTGATTCAAGTGAGCCTGCCACTTCAAGGGAAACAACTAACAAAGTCTGTTGCCATCGATAAAATTTGAATCTGCAAGTGAGAATTACAGTCTTGGCAAATGTGCACTTGCCACTGTGAGTTTGACAGCTTCCACAAACACGAACGACTTCAGATCAGATCAGCAAGTGGCATGATTGATTTTTTAATATTGTGTAATGAGATTATCAACATTAAGGAGACCCGAGTAACTTAGTAACTAGTGTTTTCCCCATGGTCACTAAAAGATCTTACAAACTGTTTTATTGATAAAGGATCCATTCAAGTGCAAGATAGATCAGTAGATGGTTGTGAGAATTTTAAAAAAATTTATCTTTTGCTGTTTTTGAGGAAATAATCAGAACACACTCCAATTCAATATAGGCTAATGGATTTTAACGTCACCACGTATGAAGAGTTCATTCATATGGTGTCAGATGCTCAGTGCAACTACACTTGATGGAATCACCACTTGTCCTGCTATGTTTATATTTACAATGACTTGAAAAGACTATCAAAGTACTCATACGTTTTACCACCATGGTGACACCGGTGAGAGCCTGACCTCAGCATGACTGTCTTGTTTTGGGGGATCTCTTAAGTTTCCCACCTTTCACAGTGTGTAGTTTTACCGTTTTTTCTACTGCTGTTTCTGAGTGGAAACTGCCGGAGCTTCCTTTCTCTGTCAGGCCTCTGCCTTCCACAGGACCAGGTTTTACTGTATACAAGGGGTACCTCCCCCCCAAATACTTTTTTTCCTCAAGGCTATGTATTAAATTTTTTTTTGCAAAACAACCTTATCACCTTCAAAGTACTCTCCATTCCACTTAATACATTTGTCAAATCTGTGATTCCATTCTTGGAAACATTTTTCAAGCCCATCTGTTTGGATGGCAGATAGTTCCTCCCTTGTTTTTTTTCTTCACCTTTTCTACGTGGTCAAATCACTGTCCTTTCATGTCCCTCTTCATTCTTGGAAACAAAAAGTAGCAGCACAGAATGAGGTCAGGTGAGTCAGGTGCGTGGAGTAAGAGGCATGCTGTTTTTTGCCCAAAACTGGCGCGCTGAGATGGCTGTGTGAGCAGGTGCATTGTCATGGCAAAACCAGTCCCCCGTCTGCCCTTCTCATTCCCAAGTCATCCATTAAAACTCGCTGAACCAAGCTCCACGATAGTCCTGACAACTTCCCTCTCTCTTCAAAGGTCCATCACTGGTCTTCACAAGTGCCCACATGTTCGCCATTTTTGTCCGTTTAGGAATTTGACAGACGTCCAGACAAAGTTTGTCATCAATTGGCATTTCACCTTTTTTGAAACGAGAAAATCACCCGTACATTTGAGTTTTCCCCATAGCGCTCCCCGTGTAAGCTGTATTCCACCTCACAAGTTTCTGTGACATTTTTACAACCCGCCCCCCCCACCGAACAGGAAACAAAATCTCACAGCTGCGTGCTGTTCTCCTAAATAGGCCAGCACAAAAACGAGGTTCAAGTGAAACTGCTTTTATGAAAAAATTTCACTCTGTTCTAGGCAACACCATTGGGTGTTGTAATTCTGAGCGAGTTGCTCAATGTTCGTCCAGTGGGGAAAATGCGTACTACGAAAGCTCCGCCCATTGGAGACTTTTCAGTTTTGGGGGGGTGGGGGTTGGGTATCCTGTTCTATGCCTTTGTGGGGCTGAATTTTCCCCCTAAACTGTAATGAAATTACAACAGGTTAAATACAAAAGCCGATTCTAAAATCCAGTTACCTTCTAATGTTAAAGAGATTTGTAAAAATAAAAATGATACTTTAAAAAAAAATCATTTTATTGGGGGTTTGTCCACCTCTTAACACAATCCATCCATCCATCCATTGTGTCAAGCACATTTGTACATTCATTGCCCTCATCATTCTCAAAACATTTGCTTTCCTCTTGAGCCCTTAATATCAGCTCATTTTTCCCCCTCCCTCCCCGACCCCACTCCCTTTATAATTAAAAAATTATCATTATTTTGTCATGTCTTACCCTGTCCGATGTCTCCGTTCACCCA